AGGTCATGGTCAAAGTGGAAGTTTTCTCCTCCCATCAGAGAAAGGTACCTCTTTCTTTGATGACCCGTTCTTTCTACTGGGATCTCACAGAGATCTTTCATTTAGGTTTTTTTTTTTTTTTTCCAGAGTGTTTTGGCTTTCCATGCCTAAAATACTCTCATGGGTTCTTCAGCCAGATCCGAATGCCTTAAGGGCTGATTCTGAGGCCAGATTGCTGTTTAGGACATCTGCCATTCTAGGAGTCTGCTGTGTATCCCGCTTCCCTTCTTGGATCGTTCTCTCCCTTTTTGATTCTATCAGTTAGTATTAGCAGACACTAGTCTTGTTTGTGTGATCCCTTTGACTCTTAGACCTATCAGTGTGATCAATTGTGAACAGAAATTGATCACTTGGACTAGTGAGATGGCATTGGTACATGCCACCTTGATGGGATTGTATTAGAATCCCCTGGCACATTTCTAACTCCACCATTTGGGGCAAGTCCAATTGAGCCTGTCCCAAATTGTACATCTCTTCCATCTCTTATTCCTACTCTTATATTTAACAGGGATCACTTTTCAGTTAAACACCTAAGAATAATTGTGTGTTAATTACAGAGTTCAACCAATAGTATTAACTAGCACCAAAAAAATACTAAAAGGGATAAAGTATTAAGTTGTTCATCAACAGTCAGGACAAGGGCTGATCAAGTCATTTTCTCATAGTGTCCCTTTCACTTCAACAGGAAGAGAAAATATTTGTTAAATGTCCTTTTTTAAGAATTATTTTATTTATTTGAAAGAGTTACAGAGAGAGGTAGAGCCAGAGAGAGAGAGGTCTTCCATCTGCTGGTTCACTCCCCAAATAATAGCAATGGCCAGAGCTGAGCTGATCCAAAGCTAGGAGCCAGTAGCTTCTTCCAGGTCTCCCATGTGGGTGCAGGGGCCCAAGGACTTGGGCCATCTTCTACACTTTCCCAGGCCACAGCAGAGAGCTGAATTGGAAGTGGAACATCCAGGACTAGAACCAGTGCCTATATGGGATGCTGGCACTCTAGGCTGGGGCTTTAACCCACTGTGCCACAGCACTGGCTCCTTAAATGGCCTTTTTGAGGAAAAAAGTTTGCCCATATGTTGCTGTGGATTCGTTCTGAGAGAAGTGTGGTGGGGGCAAGAGGCACAGAGTCACAACACAGATACCAGGAGTCAGGGGAAAGCGGGCTAGAGGCAAGCAGCCTGCAGACTTATTTATTTCAGTTGGTGCAGCAGCTTATATAGCTGAGGCAGCCAATCTGGTCAAGGGGCGGTTTATGCCCTAACCATTGTTATCATTGTTGCCATTTCCTGAGTAACTGACACTCGCTGGCCAGCGCCATCTTGGCACCGCCTTCTCATTCCATCACATTTCCTCCTTTTCGTTTATTTTTGATCAACAGGAGGCATGATCCTTGTCCATACCATTTGGCCATACCATTTCCATGTGATCTCCATTTGTGGCTATGCCTGTCTTAGGTTGTCTCCCAGGGGGTCTTACTCGTCGACTAATCAGCCCTCAAAACGGGAGACCACAGGAGTGCTTGCTCAGATGTGGGTAGGAATGAGGAACAGTGGTAATCAGGAATGGCGTGACCACATGCAGGCTGTTGGCTGTTCGAATGGCTGACCGGAGCTAGTGGGGTATAAACCAGTAGTGGATGTGGCTGCAGGCAGTACCTCAGGGCAGGATGATAGGACAGAAGCTTGACAGTCAGTAGCAGGTGTGTCTGCTAACAAGGCGTTCTCTCTGTCTTGTTAAACTGGTTCTGGTTGACTATCAGTTGCAGGCTTGATGTTTCTGGCTGGTACCCAAATGGGTTGTCCAGCATTCTCTGGAATGACACAAGCATATCCTTGGCCCTTGGTTAGCAGAAGCCTTTTTATGGGCGTTGGAATCCAGGGCCTGAATTCTGTGTCTGCTCCAACATTAAAGGCAAACATGCGGGTGGGATGGGGTCTGGGGGCTTCCCTGAGAGCCTGGGGTGCCCAGGGACTGCCACAAATGTGGGGATCCTCACTGGGTGTGGACGGGATGACCTTGCATGGGTTATCGCCTCAAGGTCATCTAGGTTCATCCCACGGATATTTGAGGGGTGGCTGACTAGGCATTGCTGCGTTGTCTGCTGTCATGTCATTTTCACTGTCAGAGCTCTCTCTCCCCAAGTCATCAACTGTTGCCTGTGAGGCAGCGGCCTGAAGTGACAGACTCTTATCACTCACAGATTCATTGTGTTTGGTAATCTGTGTGGGCTCCTGAAAGGGGATATGTTTTCCATGTTTCAGCGCTTAAGAGCGGTGCGTCACTGCCAAAGCAGACGCCCACAGTACTGCTGACATAACAAAGCAAATTCCTAGCACCTCAGTGGCTGGTGGCATTCTGCAGGGGGTTCCCTATGCTAGACAAACAGACAGTGGTGTATTAGATCGTACATATGTGCTGTGCTTAGTGGGAGACTTCCTTGATTCGTTAGGTCAAGGCCGTATGCCCACACAGTGTCTCCGGAGCATCACCTCTCTCTCGAGTGAGAGAAGATGACTTGGTTCCGAATTCTGGGATGATCAGTCCCTTAGGTGAATTTGCCGGGCAAACCGAAAGTAAAGGAGGAGCCAAGAAGTGGCATTACGCCTCTGGGCTGTGTGTGCCTAACCTGGGGTCACTTAGGCTAAGGACAAGGACAAGGCAAGGGGCATAGGAGGGGGTTCTGTGCTCACCCTCACAGAATCAAACAGCACACAAAACACCGAGAAGCCTACTTGCTGAAATCAAGGGGAGACCTTGCCAGATCCGACACACTTTCTCTCAGCCACATTGGGTGCCAGATGTTGCTGTGGATTCATTCTGAGAGGAGGAGCGTGGTGGGCACAAGAGGCGCGGAGTCATGACACAGACACTGGGAGTAGGGTGAACGTGAGCTAGAGGCAAGCAGCTTGCAGACTCGTTTATTTCAGTTGGTGCAGCAACTTATATAGCCAAGGCAACCAATCTGGTCAAGGAGTGGTTTATACCATAACCAATCACTTCCTGTTGCCAGGCAGGCTCCTTTACCAGGTGGGTTCTGAAGCCATTTCTTGAGTAACTGACGCTTGCTTGCCAGCACCATCTTGGGATGGCCTTCTCATTTCACCACACCCATCTCAGGGATTGGACATGGATTTCTGCTAAATAACCAAGCCTTGCATTTTGAACAGCCTCTTAACAGGTGCTTGCATGGTGCGCAGCAGGCTAAAGCCCACCACCTGCAACAACACCAGCATCCCATATTGGAGCTCTGATTCCAGTCCTAACTGCCTTGCTTCCATTCCAGCTCCCTTCTAATGCGCTTGGGATTGTGAGTGTGTGTGTAAGTACTTGGGCCCCTGCCACCCAAATGGGAGACCTGGATGGAGTTCCTGGTTCCTATTCTGGACTGGCCTAGTCCTGGGCATTGTGACCATTTGGAAAGTGGAAGATCTCTTTCTCTAGCTATGTTTTTGTCTGTGTGTCGTTCTTTCAACAACAAGAAAAGTTAGAACAAAAAAGCCCTGCTCCTGTTAAAACATTTCACAAGTCCCTGTCATCTACCTGCAGCATGACAGTGAGGCCTTAAACATATCTTACCTGGAACTTTATTTGGCTGTGTTTTGGTTACAAACTTCATATTCAAAGGTGAAGGTATCTACTTTCTAGGAGGAAAAAAGATCATTGACTATCATCTCATGGTATTAAATAGCTCCTTCCTACATATTGATACAGGTTCTATAACTTATACCTTTATTGGGCATTAACACATTCTGAGAGTGAAAATTTCACTCAGCTTCCTGCTGTGGATTTTGATCACTAATTTGGAGATGTTTGAGTTTTAGGCTGCCTTATACCACCTTTCCATCTTTTCCAGGTAGGTTTCACTCATGAGGCTCAATCTCAAGCTTGGAATCTAGAACCTTCCACCATGTTCTGCACTAAGTGTCACCAACTTGAGGGCATCTTCCCCACTGCTGCCACAGCCTCTGACAAAAGTCTAGCATATCAAATGAGTGAATGAATGAAATATGCCACATAACTAAAGGGGGATAATCAGTAACATGACTTGAAAGGGAAGATTAGTGAAGATCAGTAATATTCCTAACTTACAATAGCAGTGGGAAGGATTGTTAACTAGAACAGTGGCCCTGTCCCCTTCTCCAGTGGTATGGCTGTTTGTAACAAAGCAGAGACAGAAAACCCAGCTTTTGGGTCATTTTTGCTGCTGTCCTACCTGACTTGTATGATCTTTGCTCCAGTTTTCCTAGCTTGCCTGACTTGGTCACTCTGGTGCCACTTCCCACTGGCTTCTGTGTCATCTGCTGCTCTCAGACTGCCCACACCTGAGTGCAAAGGTACATCCACTTTTGTTCGACTTTATTTGCTGCCCAGGAATCTTGAGGCTATGGGATTGGGTGTGAGGTTGGGTTCTAATGCAGGCACTGGGCTGTGGCAAAAGAAACATTGCATCTGGAGTTGAAGGCCTTGTATTTAGGTCCTGGTTTGATCCATACCTGGTCTGCACAGGTCCCTGAAAAATATGATTGAGAGTGACATTCATGTTGCAGGGTTGCAAAATACACTTTGTAAATTGCCATAGACTACTATAGACATCTATGATGCCCTGAATTTCACTTTGCCTTAAAAAAACCCCTGCTTAAAATCCCAGCATGTATTACAAATTATTAATGATGTTGTTGCTTGTTGTGAGATATAAGTCCTGATAGAGTAGAAGAAAAAAGAAAATTGCATTTGTGTCTTTCTTGAATCTTACTGCTTTAGGTTGGTCTTCATTTTCCTCAGACCAGAGACTCTGTGAGCCACAACCCAGATATCTGTAAAAGATTCCCAAATACAGGGATGTTTTACAGACAGGAAATAACTTTGTTGGCAAACAGTATATGTCTTATTTAAAAATGTCTTTAAAAATCCCTCAGCACACTGAGGCAGCAAGCTTCCATTCCCATCAGGCTTGAATGACAGATGTTCTTTTTTACATATTAAACTCATACTCAACCAAAATGTTAAGCTCTTTTTAGGTTGCTGTTGAAATATCTTACCTCTTGGAATACACCTGAGGGTGCTGCTGCTGCAACCAGCAGGGGTTACCAAGGCAGAGCTGGGAAATGGTAATGGAGCATAGATATTAGTACTCATTCTCTGCTGAAAATGTGGCTCCACCACAGAGACTGGTGTTCCATGTGGATTTTTTTTCTTAAGCCCTAAGAATACTACAGATTCAATCTTAAAAAGGTTATACAACATTAAAACCTTTTCTATAAGCTATGTTTTAAACACTGTAAATAACAAAGTGATGGAGTGTTGGAGTTAGAAAGGACTTGGCAAGTTGTCTAGAAGAATGTAAACTTCAGTAAGAAATTGACCTCTATGACACTGTTCACAGCCACTTGATGCTTTCCACTGATCTTGTGGTCTCTGTTGAAGCCTCTCATTAGTTTTTACCTCTGGGTTTCCATTTGCTTTTTGGAGTTCAAAATATTTAGCAGCATCTACCCTGGACTTCTAAGCTTTTCTTTTCCTCAGAACAGAACATCTCCAGGTCCTTCATCCAGTCCTTGTAGACAGTAAACCATTCACCAACTGGATTACCACCCTGTAGCTTAAACCTATCTTGTCAGCCACTCTTAAAATGGAACATATCTGAGGATATGCTCCAGAAAATTCATGGAAAAACAGAATCAAAAGGTAATATTTTAGTATAAAACTTTTTTGAAATCCATGCTTATTTTATTCATGAGCTTTTTAAAAATCCTTCCTTTGTGGCTATGGAAGCTTTGTCTAGAAGTTTTTTTGTTTCTTGAGCCCAAGCATATATTGGGACTTTTTGTGTGTGTGGATGTGTACTGGGGGAGTGTTAGCTTGCAGAATTTCTGTCGGTGTTGTCACTCGTAAGTGCTTTCTGTATGTCAGATCCTCCAGTAGGTGCTGGGGACATAGTGGTGCACAAAAATAAAGATTATTTGTGTGCTAATGGAGCTAGGTGGGACCTGAGAGGTGTCCTATCTCAGTCACCTAAAGTTTTGGGGTTTTTTTTTTGTTTTTCAAAAATTTATTTACTGAGAGAGAGAGAGAGAGAGAAAGAAAGAAAGAAAGAAAGAGAGGCTCAGATATAGAGATCTTCCATTTGCTGGTTTACTTTCTAAAAGTCTATAAGAATCAGGTCTGAGCCAGGCTAATACCAGGAGCCTGGAACTCCTTCCTGGTCTCATATGTGGGTGGCAGGGACCCAAGTACTCGGGATATTTTCTGCTGCCATCTAAGGTACATTAATAGGAAGCCTGATCGGAGGTGGAGAAGCCGGGGCTCAAACCAGCATTTCAGTATGGGATGCTGATGTTACAAGTAGTGGCTTAACCCACTATTCTACAAGGCTGACTCAGTTCTCTAAAGTTTTGGTAAGAAAAGCAACTCCCTGAATTCAATGACTTGCCATGGCCTGCTATTAGAATTAGAATCCTTATTTCCTGATTCCCCAGTTATTCCTTCACATCACTGTCTTTCTTCATAGTGAACATGTACTCACTGAAAACTTGAGATCTGTTTTTACTGCTGTTAAAATGGCCCTCCATCCTGCTCTTGTGCAGTTGGTTTTTTGAATTCTGATATAGAAGAATAAATTTGTTCACATCAGATTTTACCTTGCTTTATCCTTATTCTGGTTTGTTGAAGACTTCTTGGGTTGTAATTACATCTTATAGTGAATTTATTGTGTTTTTTTAACCTGATTTTCTTTTTTTTATTTTTCCTTTAAAGGTTTATTTGTTTGAGAGGCAGAGTTACAGACAGGGAGAGGGAGAGAACAGAGAGAGAGGTTTCCATCCACTGGTTCACTCCCCAAAAAGCCGCAATGGCCAGAGTTGGTCCAATTTAAAGCCAGAAGCTTCTTCTGGATCTCCCAGATGGGTGCAGGGGCCCAAACACTTGGGCTATTTTCCATTGCTTTCCCAGGCCATAAGCAGAGAGCTGGATTGGAAGTGGAGTAGCTGGGACTCGAACCAGGGCCCATATGGGATGCCAGCACCACAAGCAGAAACTTTACCTAACATAACACGGCACCAGCCCTCACCTGCTTTTTCTTGTCTGCAAAATTGGATAAGGCTACACTCATTTGTCTTTAATAAGAAATACTAAGTGAAAAAAGGTGAAAGATAGTCTTATAATTAAACTGTAGAGATTTTCTCCCAAGTTGACAAAGATGTTCCAGTCAATTTGGAATATAAGTGAGATATCAGGTCCATGGCTGTTTTGGTCAGTACTATATTCTTGGAGTACAGCACAATCCCAAAAGTGTGTGTTGAGCAAATAACTATATGAAGAATACCTTATGCCTTGGTTATGATGGATTGCCCATTTTGGAACCATTTAGCTGCTGTCATTAGACTCCCATTTTCCTCAGGACCTTTCAGTGCCCTGTCCTCTCCGTAGGAGCTTAGTCTTAGAGTGTTATCTGAGGCTTTCCTTGATCTGGTAGAGGAACCCTGTTGAAATGGGAATGAGATTACTAAGATGGGGTATTTTTAATGAATCTTTGCTAGCTCCTGATAGTCATTGTTTTTGACATCTAAGTGTTCATTAAGTCACCAACTTATTCAGGGTTGCATGGGGTATTCATTCATTAATGTTATTCCATTTAGCAATTTCTCCATTGCTGAGAAGTGACCTTGGAGGAGAAGGCTTGCTGAGACCCATCTGGGATGATTTGTATGTAGGCTGCATCTGGCTCAAATTCTTTATCTTTCTGAGGAAAAACTGGTGCTACCTTACCTGGAGAAATGTGTGAAGATGCTGGATCAGCAAGATAAAACAAGCTAGGATGGAAATGTTGTTGAACAACCATCATAGATTCCTCTTGTCAAGTGAAGACACTTGGATTCTGGAGCCAATCTCCAAAACTCAGACTGTCAGTTAGAAGATACATGTTATGAAAATGATGTGTACTTCATAAGGTTGTTTTTTATCATTTTGAGTTTTCAAAATGGTCAGTTCTTCATTACTGTAACAAAATGTCTGAGGCTTGGTACTTTGTTAAGAAAAGAAGTTTATTTAGCTCACAGTTTTAGAGGCAAAAAGTCCAAATGGCTTCAGCTGGTCGTTGAAGGCCTCCTAGCTGGAGTATGTATGAGAGACAGATCACATGATATTGCATGTGTAACCTCTGGGTTCTGTCTTCTGGTAGAGCCAACAGTTTTCAGTCATGGGAGCCCCACCCTCATGATTTACCTAATCCCAATAATCTCCCAAGGCCCTACCTCTAAACTCCATACTCGGATTAAGTTTCTACCCTTCAAATACCTCACAATGGGGATTAAATTTCAACAGGAGTTTAGGAAGGGACAGACTACGGCAATCATCAAACGAGCAGAAAGATGAAAACTGCTTATTACAGTGCCAAGACCAAGGAAAGACCCTTGCTAGAATTACAGAGAGAGAGAGGAGTGTGAAAACATTGGATAAAGTAGAAAGCAAGTTCTTTTTAATGTAAGCTGTTGTTTGCCCTGACAGATATTTCATTTTTAATTTTAAATTAAGCAGATATACTGATTGTCATTCATTCATTCAGTAAATAAAATTTGATTCCCTTTTATATGTCCAGCTGTGTGCTCTAAGGTGAGGAGAATGTAAACCCTACCAGATATGCACAATCATCAAGTAACGTAGCCTGACGCCCTTTGGATACTTGCATTTCAGTTGGAAAAGGTTCAGGTATTTTGTAGCTATCCTCCATATGCCAGAGGAAGTGTAGGACGTTGGATAATACAGTTATTCCCAAGTTATGTCCGGCTGTAGGAACACTATGGGGCAGTGTAGCATTAAAAAGCTAACTTAAGTTGAATCCACAGAATTTAGCAGGGCTGAATAATCCATAGGCAGCAAAGCACTCTCAGCAGAGGTAGAATAATCAGAAACTTATTTACAATTGAAGAGAAAGAAATAGGCAGTTAAGATTTGAACATCACCAGTCAAGGGAAAGATGCCAATGCCTGAAGTTATTAGGGCTGGAGAATCCTGGAGTAGCTTCTTCAGGGTCCAGATTAGGAGTTCCCAGGCAGAGTTTCCACTCCACAGGTGAAATTCCAAAGTCTCTCCCTCTCAAGTTCCCTTAAAAATTATTCTAAACAAAGGTGACATGCATCCAGAAGTCCTTGTGTAACGAGGTAGGTGTCCATTCTCCCAGGAACTGGCTAGGGACCTGGGGGAACACACATCCATCTTTGCTTCATAAATAAAAACAAAACTTGGTTTTTCCAATAGGGCAGCCAAGGCCACAAGAAAAAATAGCACATATAGCTCTAGGTTTTTCAGTATATGGCACAAAGAAGGCAAAAAGAAGGAA